CCTCACTTCATGGTTCTGAGCTGAACTCTTCTCCACTCCTGCTCCAGTCTCGTGGCACCGTTTGAAGCACCTGAAGGATCCAATTCTCTCTTGTCCAAGGACAATCCATCCATCCATTTTTTATTCAAGTAAATTGGACTGTCATCGTTGGACTGTTATTTGACATTTTGATCACTGTTATTTGGACAAATTAGCGCTGTTGTTTAGAAACGTGATGTATAATGTGAAAAACACATCAAACATTTCTCTCTTTGTATTTTTAATTTACTTTTTACAGTAAGCTTTTTTGATTTATTATGTCTGAATGTAGCAGGAGGTCAGACACCTGCTGCTGATGTGTGCGCACACTGGGTAGAGATTGGAGACATTTCTGTGCATAACGTGCTCTGTCCACAGGCATTAATTTATTCTGTTGAATAAATGATCATTTGTTTCGGGGTCTGAGAGGAGGAGAGGGGCGTTTTTCAGTGCGCAGCGCTGCTGTAGGGACAATAGTTGGAGGAGGAGGAGAGAAGGACTCTGCACAGAACCTCCGTGCATAACTATGACCATCTGTCCCTCCATCCTCACCCCCGCCTATAGGCTCCCCATCTCCTCCTCGAAGGAGCGTGTAGCTGGTGCCCCGCGCGTGCTGCAGCTGGAACATCCACTCCACAGACTGGGCCCGCCTGGCTGAGGGCAACGTCTCCTCTCGTTGTATTTTTAAGAAATAATCAAAATAAAAATGCGCAATGACTTTGAACTTTTCGAAGCGAAGTTGGCGGATCCGATGAAAGAGCTGGATTCAAGCAGTCACAACGAGAGAGCTCCCGGATCTTGTTCCAACAGGATCCAGCTCAAATTAACCACGGAGTATTTTCTATTGGGAGCTTGTCAGATAATATTTTAAATTTTACAGCAAAGGTAGTCCTTTGCACAGTACAAAATAATTTTAAATTACTTTTTTTTTTGGCCAGACCGACAGATTTCTACATTAAAATGACTATTTCATTTAAACAGATTATATTTACAGGATGGGCAGCACGGTGGCGCAGTTGGTAGAGCTGCTGCCTCTCAACGAGCAGGTCCCTGGTTCAAATCCAAGTCCGGGGACCTTCCTGAGTGGAGTTTGCATGTTCTCTCCGTGCATGCGTGGGTTTTCTCCAGGTACTCCAGTTTCCTCCCACAGACCAAAAACATGCATGTTAGACTGACTGGTGACTCTGAACTGTCTCTAGGTGTGAGTGAATGGTTGTTTGTCTCGTTTGTCTTTATGTGTCCTTGTGATGGACTGGAGACCTGTCCAGGGTGTCCCTTGCCTCTCGCACAGTGACTGCTGGACATGGGCACCAGTGACCCCCGCAACCCAAAAAGGAAGAAGCGGGTAAAGAAAATTGATGGATGGATATTTACAGGATTTCAGCTCAAGTAGTAATTTAATAGTATTTTTCATATTTGATCATTTATTGAATTATATTTATCACAGTACTGTTTCATCACACGGTGGTTCTGAAAATAAGAAAGCTTAGCGCATCCAAATGGCCAAAATCTT